ATCTTGAAGTTACATCATTTTCAGAATCGCCATCGGGGCTAACTTTAGCTCCGACGAAAATTCCTCAGCGTCTACTATTGCGTCATCGTTGACGGTAAATACATTTACTGTTTGCTGATGATTTATTTGTCCTTATCTGAGTTTCGCTGATATTGATCTTAATTCCAATCTTAAGGCTCATTTTTGAAAGTCTGTCTAACTTTCCCGAGCATCCCAAATCAGTGTCATGTACACAGTCTATATCCTCCTAGGTGAGGTATGTGACCACCTGATCCCTCTGTCTTTCAGCTAGTCAATGGCCAGATCAAACAGACTGACAGTCAATGGCCAGATCGAACAGACAGGCTGACAGTCAATGGCCAGATCAAACAGACAGGCTGACAGTCAATGGCCAGATCAAACAGACTGACAGTCAATGGCCAGATCAAACAGACTGACAGTCAAGGGCCAGATCAAAAAGACTGACAGTCAATGGCCAGATCAAACAGACTGACAGTCAATGGCCAGATCAAACAGACTGACAGTCAAGGGCCAGATCAAACTGACTGACAGTCAATGGCCAGATCAAACAAACATACTGACAGTCAATGGCCAGATCAAACAGACAGGCTGACAGTCAATGGCCAGATCAAACAGACAGGCTGACAGTCAATGGCCAGATCAAACAGACAGGCTGACAGTCAATGGCCAGATCAAACAGACAGGCTGACAGTCAATGGCCAGATCAAACAGACTGGCTGACAATCAATGGCCATATCAAACAGACAGGCTGACAGTCAATGGCCAGATCGAACAGACAGGTTGACAGTCAATGGCAAGATCAAACAGACAGGCTGGTTGTCAAGGGCCAGATCAAACAGACAGGCTGGCAGTCAATGGCCAGATCAAACAGACAGGCTGGCAGTCAATGGCCAGATCAAACAGACAGGCTGGCAGTCAATGGACAGATCAAACAGACAGGCTGGCAGTCAATGGACAGATCAAACAGACAGGCTGACAGTCAATGGCCAGATCGAACAGACAGGCTGACAGTCAATGGCCAGATCAAACAGACAGGCTGGCAGTTAATGGCCAGATCAAACAGACAGGCTGGCAGTCAATGGCCAGATCAAACAGACAGGCTGACAGTCAATGGCCAGATCAAACAGACAGGCTGACAGTCAATGGCCTGATCAAACAAACAGGCTGACAGTCAATGGCCAGATCAAACAGACAGGCTGACAGTCAATGGCCAGATCAAACAGACAGTCAATGGCCAGATCAAACAGACAGGGCTCGGACAGTGTGACAGGCCAGAGGCCAGATCAAACAGACAGGCTGACAAGTCAAGGGCCAGATCAAACAGACAGGCTGGCAGTCAATGGCCAGACAGGCTGACAGTCAATGGCCAGATCAAACAGACAGGCTGGCAGTCAATGGACCAGATCAAACAGACAGGCTGGCAGTCAATGGCCAGATCGAACAGACAGGCTGACAGTCAATGGCCAGATCAAACAGACAGGCTGACAGTATACACCCCCGCCTTTAACATCTGTAAGTAAAGTAAAGTAAAGAGCACTTTTCCATGCCTTTAGGCTATAGGGCATATAGGGCTAGACCTATATTTTATAGACCAACGGCACACGATTGGTGATGTGGTCAGCATCACGCCGGCCGCCTCTACTTCACGGTACTGCCCGCGGTACCCACTCAAGGCTGGGTCGACCTGGGAGCCGCTCTGCCACGGCGACTCACTATAACTGCTGTGCTGACAGGAAAACTTTGTGTTCTATGGTTTTCTCACGCTACCTTGCAGTGACAACTTTCAGTAACTGCTTTGATCCCATGTACTATTGTCTGTGGTCTGCCATAATGAGGCCAAAATCTTCCATAACAATTCCATATGCACGCTGTCAACGTCCTGGCCCAAATCTACACAGACTTTAGAAACTCATTAGTTGGCTACTTTATTCACATATTTGACAGAGTGTGTATGTGGGCAGTGCCGCAAGCCTACGTCATTTCTAAGACTCGCTTGTTCTGGCCTCATTTTTCTTCAAGTGTTTGAGTCAGTCTCTAAGAACAATATGGCTGAAGATTTGACTGTCACAGATGTCGCTGTCTGGACGTGCTCAGACCGAACACTACAGGTCAATACGAGCACAGTAAACATGGCGAACAGGGAGGGTTAATGTACCAGATAAACAGACAATAACAAGATCAGGAAATCATATCATGTTAACAGTTGCTTCTAAATATCAAGACAAAACGAGTTAATGTACCATGTAACTATGTCAACCGTTCTTCCTAGATTAACTCGGGGTACCGTAAATGGCTCAGATCAACCGCCAGTAAATAAGCACAGAAACGAGTTAATGTACCTTACATTTTTGTAACAAGTGGGGGGGTCGATGGCAGACAAGATCTTTTAGGCCATGTAAAGAGTTGCCAGTCAACATAAGGACAAAGGGGCTTATTGTACAAGATAAACAGGCAAAAGAAGATCACGAAATCGTATCATCGAAAGAGTTGCCAGCAAATGCTAGGCGAGTTCCTTGGTAGCGACAGAGTTAAATAATTAACTGGTATTGAGCAAGTGTTTACTAGTGCCAGCCGAGCCTCCATGTCACTGGGGACTGCCCTAAGCGCCACGTGACTTCGACATCTGTACCATCGCACCCCCGAAACCCCGCGTCTGTTTTACTGTCCGAACATTCCAGCCCCCTGGCCCGGCATAATGTCACCGTCGTCCATCTCCGGACAAAACCGTTCCCCCCAATTCTAAAAGCTTGTGTGGGCCAACCAGTCGCCAACCAGGACCTGATTCTCACTGAAGTTTACTTTATCCAGGGGTCTGTTCACCTTTATTCTTCTCGCCATCCAGGGTCTGTTCACCTTTATTCTTCTCGCCATCCAGGGTCTGTTCACCTTCATTCTACTCGCCATCCAGGGTCTGTTCACCTTTATTCTTCTCGCCATCCAGGGTCTGTTCACCTTTATTCTTCTCGCCATCCAGGGTCTGTTCACCTTTATTCTTCTCGCCATCCAGAGTGTGTTCACCTTCATTCTACTCGCCATCCAGGGTCTGTTCACCTTTATTCTTCTCGCCATCCAGGGTCTGTTCACCTTTATTCTTCTCGCCATCCAGGGTCTGTTCACCTTCATTCTACTCGCCATCCAGGGTCTGTTCAACTTCATTCTACTCGCCATCCAGGGTCTGTTCAACTTCATTCTACTCGCCATCCAGGGTCTGTTCACCTTCATTCTAATCGCCAACTCAGGGTCTGTTCACCTTTATTCTTCTCGCCATCCAGGGTCTGTTCACCTTTATTCTTCTCGCCATCTAGGGTCTGTTCACATTTATTCTTCCCGCCATCCAGGGTCTGTTCACATTTATTCTTCTCGCCGCGTGTCACCTATCAAGCACATTTCTGTTTCTGTGTAAATTGTAGAGCCACTTTTTAGGCTTCTGGACAAACTGCAAAGCCCACTTTATTGTCAATAAGTAAAGTGTAAAGCCAATTTATGTGACAACAATGTAAAGTGTAAAGCCCATTTATGTGACAACAATGTAAAGTGTAAAGCCCATTTATTGACAACCATGTAAAGTGTAAAGCCCATTTATGTGACAATGCCAGGTGTAAAGCCCAATTATGTGACAACAATCTAAAGTGTAAAGCCCATTTATGTGACAACAATGTAAAATGTAAAGCCCATTTATGTGACAACAATGTAAAGTGTAAAGCCCATTTATGGACAACAATGTAAAGTGTAAAGCCCATTTATGTGACAACAATTTAAAGTGTAAAGCCCATTTATTGACAACCATGTAAAGTGCTAAGCCCATTTATGTGACAATGCCAAGCGTAAAGCCCATTTATGTGACAACAATGTAAAGTGTAAAGCCCATTTATGTGACAACAATGTAAAATGTATAGCCCATTTATGTGACAACAATGTAAAGTGTAAAGCCCATTTATGTGACAACAATGTAAAGTGTAAAGCCCATTTATTGTCAACCATGTAAATTGTAATGCCCATTTACTATAATCCATGTAAATTGTAAAGACTAGGTGGACAGAGCTGTGCTGTCCACAACAATCTCTTCTCCATCCCGGTCTTTCTCTCTGATAGTTACAGTTGTCAGCGGACAGATCACTGGAGCGGACAATTAGATCACAAAAACGGACATTTAGATCTCAGCAGCAGAAAGATAGATCAAAAGAACGGATGTCTAGATCTCGAGAGTGGACAATTAGATCGAAAGAACAGACAGTTAGATCACTGGAGTGAACAGTTAGATCACTGGAACGAACAGTTAGATCACTGGAACGGACAGTTAGATTACTGGAGCGGACAGTTAGATCACTGGAGCGGACAGTTAGATCACTGGAACGAACAGTTAGATCACTGAAGCGAACAGTTAGAATACTGGAGCGGACAGTTAGATCACTGGAGCGGACAGTTAGATCACTGGAGCGGACAGTTAGATCACTGGAGCGGACAGTTAGATCACTGGAGCGGTGAGTTAGATCACTGGAGCGGTGAGTCAGATTACTGGAGCGGACAGTAAGATCACTGAAGCGGGCAGTAAGATCACTGGAGCGGACAGTTAGATCACTGGAGCGAACAGTTAGATCACTGGAGAGAATAGTTAGATCACTGGAGCGAACAGTTAGATCACTGGAGCGAACAGTTAGATCACTGAAGCGAACAGTTAGATCACTGTAGCGAACAGTTAGATCACTGGAGCGAACAGTTAGATCACTGGAGCGGACAGTTAGATCACTGGAGCGGACAGTTAGATCACTGGAGCGGAACAGTTAGATCACTGAAGCGGACAGTTAGATCACTGGAGCGAACAGTTAGATCACTGGAGCGAACAGTTAGATCACTGGAGCGGACAGTTAGATCACTGGAGCGAGACAGTTAGATCACTGGAGCAGACAGTTAGATCACTGGAGCAGACAGTTAGATCACTGGAGCGGACAGTTAGATCACTGGAGCAGACAGTTAGATCAATGGAGCAGACAGTTAGATCACTGAAGCGGACAGTTAGATCACTGGAGCGGACAGTTAGATCACTGGAGCAGACAGTTAGATCACTGAAGCGAACAGTTAGATCACTGGAGCGAACAGTTAGATCACTGGAGCGGACAGTTAGATCACTGGAGCGGACAGTTAGATCACTGGAGCGGACAGTTAGATCACTGAAGCGAACAGTTAGATCACTGGAGCGAACAGTTAGATCACTGGAGCGAACAGTTAGATCACTGGAGCGAACAGTTAGATCACTGGAGCGAACAGTTAGATCACTGAAGCGAACAGTTAGATCACTGGAGCGGACAGTTAGATCACTGGAGCGGACAGTTAGATCACTGGAGCAGACAGTTAGATCACTGGAGCGAACAGTTAGATCACTGGAGCGAACAGTTAGATCACTGGAGCGAACAGTTAGATCACTGGAACGGACGGTTAGATCACTGGAGCGAACAGTTAGATCTCTGGAGCGGACAGTTAGATCACTGGAGCGGACAGTTAGATCACTGGAGCAGACAGTTAGATCACTGGAGCGGACGGTTAAATCACTGGAGCGGACGGTTAGATCACTGGAGCGGACAGTTAGATCACTGAAGCGGACAGTTAGATCACTGGAGTGGACAGTTAGATAACTGGAGCAGACAGTTAGATCACTGGAGCAGACAGTTAGATAACTGGAGCAGACAGATCACTGGAGCAGACAGTTAGATCACTGAAGCGGACAGTTAGATCACTGGAGTGGACAGTTAGATAACTGGAGCATACAGTTAGATCACTGAAGCGGACAGTTAGATCACTGGAGCAGACAGTTAGATCACTGGAGCGGACAGTTAGATCACTGGAGCAGACAGTTAGATCACTGAAGCGAACAGTTAGATCACTGGAGCGAACAGTTAGATCACTGGAGCGAACAGTTAGATCACTGGAGCGGACAGTTAGATCACTGGAGCAGACAGTTAGATCACTGGAGCGGACAGTTAGATCACTGGAGCAGACAGTTAAATCACTTTAGCGGACAGTTAGATCACTGGAGCGGACAGTTAGATCACTTTAGCGGACAGTTAAATCACTAGGGCGGACAGTTAGATCACTGGAGCGGTGAGTTAGATCACTGGAGCGGTGAGTTAGATCACTGGAGCGGACAGTTAGATCACTGGAGCGGTGAGTTAGATCACTGGAGTGAACAGTTAGATCACTGGAGTGGACAGTTAGATCACTTTAGCGGACAATTAGATCACTAGAGCGGTGAGTTAGATCACTGGAGCGGACAGTTAGATCACTGGAGTGGACAGTTAGATCACTGGAGCAAACAGTTAGATCACTGGAGTGGACAGTTAGATCACTGGAGCGAACAGTTAGATCACTGGAGCGGACAGTTAGATCACTGGAGCGGGGAGTTAGATCACTGGAGCGGACAGTTAGATCACAGGAGCGGTGAGTTAGATCACTGGAGCGAACAGTTAGATCACTGGAGTGGACAGTTAGATCACTTTAGCGGACAGTTAGATCACTGGAGCGGCAAACCAGTTGTCAATCAGCAGCTTCATTAGCAACAGTAGGAGCAATAAAAAAAGATCGCCCATCATTCAAACAATTAAACAACAGCCCTTTATCACATGGAACTGGGCGCCAACCCAAACCCAAACTAACTAAGAAAACAGCTCTTGTTGTTGTTAGCCGGGCAGAGAAATCTACAAGTAAGAGATTGCAAATGAGAGTTACAGCTGTGGCACGTTACAGCTTAGGATAGAGTTAAGAGTACAGCTCAACGGTACAGCTCAGGGTACAACACAGGGTATGACTCATGGTGCAGCTCATGAACAGATTGAAGATGCGTACGCGCTGGGCTGTACTCGTCTGCTGTGCACAGTTGAACATGAACACGTACACAGATACAACGAATATTGGCGATTGTCGATGTCTACGTTACACAGATACAACGAATATTGGCGATTGTCGATGTCTACGTTACACAGATACAACGAATATTGGCGATTGTCGATGTCTACGTTACACAGATACAACGAATTTTGGCGATTGTCGATGTCTACGTTACACAGATACAACGAATATTGGCGATTGTCAATGTCTACGTTACACAGATACAACGAATATTGGCGATTGTCGATGTCTACGTTACACAGATACAACGAATTTTGGCGATTGTCGATGTCTACGTTACACAGATACAACGAATATTGGCGATTGTCGATGTCTACATTACACAGATACAACGAATATTGGCGATTGTCGATGTCTACGTTACACAGATACAACGAATATTGGCGATTGTCGATGTCTACGTTACACAGATACAACGAATATTGGCGATTGTCGATGTCTACGTTACACAGATACAACGAATATTGGCGATTGTCGATGTCTACGTTACACAGATACAACGAATATTGGCGATTGTCGATGTCTTTCTTAGAACCGGCTCACTAGGTGGATCTATGACAGGGATTAATGGTGGGATGAGTGGGGGTCTTCCCTGTGCCAATGTAGAGTGGGTCTGACCGATAAAGTAGGGTCGGTGGTCTGGAGGGCCGAGTTCCATGCCATGTCGGGCTATCGTTGCCAGGAAGCGGCGGGATAATTGGTCCCGTGCAATCCCTTCATTATCGTGATTTGATATGTGGTAAACACGGCATTTGTTTGATTGTATCAATCATATTGACTGTTATCATCTCATCCACCGTCTTTATCATTTCACACCCTGAGACCTTGTTTACAAATCACAACTGTGGTTCCCTGAGGAGCAAACAATCCCATCTGTGAAGTTTTCTGTAAACCGCGATGCTACAACTCGTATCAGACAGAAATATGACCGTCTACCTTAGCGACAGGGCACCTGCTGATGATGATCTACGGCTTTTCAGACGATTCGATAGTAATTAATCAGACGGTTTGACAGTAATTAACAAGACGGTTTGACAGTAATTAACAAGACGGTTTGACAGTAATTAACAAGACATTTGACAGTAATTAACATCTAAGTGAATTAATCATCGCCTTATTATGTTTCTAATTGGGTCAGAGGGCGTCCTGTCGGCCTTTTAAGAACGCCATTAAAGTGCTCTCATCGGGCTACAAACAGCACCGGCAGACTTGAACAGATTCAGTAAACAAGCTTCAGAAACATTTGTGTCCGGTAATTGAAGATCTGATCTGTCATGTCGCCATCAACGCAGACTGGCCAGCCACGGAGGGAATTATCGTTGTTGTTTCTAAAAGAGTGTGACATCGTTTTGTGACTGTTTATGTGAAACTCAAGTATGCGGTTATGCGTGCCTTCTTCTCCTTCTCTTTCATTCTCCTGAAATAAGTTGTCTATATCAGCAATTTTGTCTCTTGTATAAATGTCACTGTCGTTGTTAGTTCATTCAGTGGTCCATAGAGCTTACGTTCCACGGTTGTTCTTTCTGGCAGAAAGGTTTGCCTTAATGTGTTGAATTCGGTGCAGTACTGGAGCACATGCTCTGCTGTCTGCGGCACCTTTCCACAGGTGCACATGGCTGATACGCCTATCTTGAATTTTGTGTACATGTGGTTACGTAATCGGTTGTGCCCTGTTCTGAGGCGGAGGATAATGACTTGTTCTGGTCTGTCCATAATAAATTAGTCTTCTTGAGCTGGGTATGTGACTGGTGCATCCGACTGCACTTTTGTTGCACCTTCCCCTGCCAGTTGATCAGCTTTCTTATTACCTGGCACTCCACAATAAGACGGTATCCACTGCATTACGACTCTTCGCAGAACGCTGAGTTGTGTCAGCAGTGTTTGCAGTTATGGTAGTTTCCTAGACTGGAGTGCTTTAAGTACTGATTTAGCATCTGTCAGCATTTCCACATACTGTGAGCCAAGACTGGTATTTAGCAGTTCCTCTGTTGCTATCTTGATAGCTTGAGTTTCTGCGTCATAGTTATGGCAGTACTTTCCGGTTGGTACGCTGGACTTATCCCTAGTACCATCTGGGAATTCTATGTACACTCCAGCACCACCATTTCTAACTGCACTTTGTGCGGACCCATCTGTATAGACTCTGACCCATTTTTCTTGTGGGTTTTCTTCATCAATGTAACTGAGGGTGGCCATTCTGCGTTGTACAATATCTTGTTCTTTCTTGTCAAATATCCTTTTCACATTTGTCTGGATTTGTACCGTTAGTTTGTATTTTTCTCTTCATGGGGTTTGTTCTGGAATACTGTTCACTGGACAACCAATTTCTGGAAGGTCAGCAGTTTGTCTACATATTCTTTTTGCTTGATGTATAAAGCTGCTTCTTTTTAAACGTCCCAAGGCTAAGTTCTGAAATCTATTTTTCATGGATGATCTGGCATACTGAGGAACTTTTCAGCTTGTATTTGCAACTTTGTATCTCTGCGTTCTCTCAGTGCCTGTGTTTTCTCAGCTTTCCCCATTTCTAATATGGGGGTTGATTTCATCCCTCATGTGATGACCTTGAGCGCTTGATTTTGCAATTTGTCCAACTCTTATGTGTGCCTAAGATGTGTAGTTATATCTGAAGATTCTTGTGGGAGACTCAGAAGTCTGGCTGTGTGGAAGATTCAAGTGTGTGCTTGTGTGAGACTACAGAGTGTGCTTGTGTGAGACTACAGTGTGTGCTTGTGTGAGACTACAGTGTATTGTGGTGTGAGACTACTATGTGTGCTTGTGTGAGACTACAGTGTGTGCTTGTGTGAGACTACTATGTGTGCTTGTGTGAGACTACACTGTGTGCTTGTGTGAGACTACAGTGTGTGCTTGTGTGAGACTACAGTGTGTGCTTGTATAAGACTACAGTGTGTGCTTGTGTGCGACTACAGTGTGTGCTTGTGTGAGACCACAGTGTATTGGTGTGTGAGACTGCAATGTGTGCTTGTGTGAGACTACAGTGTGTGCTTGTGTGAGACTACTATGTTTGCTTGTGTGAGACTACAGTGTGTGGGTGTGTGAGACTCAAGTGTGTGCTTGTGTGAGACTCAAGTGTGTGCTTGTGTGAGACTACTATGTGTGCTTGTGTGAGACTACAGTGTATTGGTGTGTGTGACTACTATGTGTGCTTGTGTGAGACTACAGTGTGTGCTTGTGTGAGATCCAAGTGTGTGCTTGTGTAAGACTCAAGTGTGTGCTTGTGAGAGACTCTAGTGTGTGCTTGTGAGAGACTACAGTGTGTGCTTGTGTGAGACTACAGTGTGTGGGTGTGTGAGACTCAAGTGTGTGCTTGTGTGAGACTCAAGTGTGTGCTTGTGAGAGACTCTAGTGTGTGCTTGTAAGAGACTCTAATGTGTGATTGTGAGAGACTATAGTGTGTGCTTGTGAGAAACTACAGTGTGTGTTTGTGAGAGACTACAGTGTGTGCTTGTGTGAGACTCTAGTGTGTGCTTGTGAGAGACTACAGTGTGTGCTTGTGAGAGACACTAGTGTTTGCTTGTGTGAGACTCTAATGTGTGCTTGTGTGAGACTCTAGTGTGTGCTTGTGTGAGACTCTAATGTGGGCTTGTGTGAGACTCTAATGTTTGCTTGTGTGAGACTCAAGTGTTTGCTTGTGAGAAACTCAAGCGTGTGCTTGTGTGAGACTCTAATGTTTGCTTGTGTGAGACTCTAATGTGTGCTTGTGTGAGACTAT